TAATTGTTTATATCTCGATTAATTTTGCAATAAGAAAAAAATCTTTTGGCACAAAATTCTATCTCCCAAAGTACTACCTTTGTGCAAAATTAAAAAAATTTCTGAGAGATGACTGATCCGCTTCACGTGGAATAGCTATAAATCTTGATGAATAAAAATAAAATTTATTTTTATTGTAAATGTGTAGGATACAGATTGAATTATTATTTAGTTCTGCATTAGAAAATGCAGAATTAAAGAAAGAACAGAATTTTCGATTTATTTTATCAATGTATACTATTGAACCATCGCAGTAAGATATGAAAAAAAAATTTATGATTCTCACTTTTAAGTACAGCATTGGACAAAGTATCCATTGCGAAGTACACTTTTATCACGTTACGTGTTCCAGTACAGTCTCTTCAATGCGATCTATCAATAACGTGTATAACAATGCTGTATCTTACGCTGCATTAAACGGCGTAAGTAAACAGCTTAACACGGTAAATTAATAACAAATAAAAAAATACAATTTTTTTTACGCTTGTATCATTTTACAGACAATCCTAAGTATCTTGCACAAAGAAAAATAGTAGCGAATATGCAGTTGTATTTTTGTAATTGCACATTCATTCCTCCGTCACACATCAATACGGTTGTAACAACAGTTAAAATATAATAGAAAAATATATGTCCTATTATATTCTATTATACACGCACAGTATAATAGAAAACTATTTTTCATTATCTCGAGGCTATTTCATTTTGAAAATAAATGATAGCATCCTGTATAGTCGCAAAGATTTTCAACGACATTATCCCGTATACGTATAAGTCACATTTTTTTATCGTTTCGTAAATAGGACTAGGACAATTAACAAAGTAAAACTCAATATCCACCTGCGTGAACTCTTCCACGATTACATGCAACACCTGAACGCTACTGGGATCGATGTAACTCAACGCGCTCATATCCATGATTATACATTGCAATTCGCATGTCTCTTTAGAGCCCTTCTCGTCCAAGAAGCGACCCTCTTCCGTCAATTTTTTCCTATACTTGATAATCTTTTGCGGACACACTCCCACAAGTCTGTATACAATGGACTTGAAGTAGCTGTTGTTAGCGAAATTCAAAGTTCCGCAATAGTGAAATATTTTTATTCCGCGTATCTCTACTGCCTAAAAAAAAAAACACGATCAACACAGGTGTAAGCTGATTATACAATTGAATAACTTATATTAAGGGGGTTTTATCGCTCAACGCCACAACTCGATAGTGTGACGTTGTCACATAAACGTCACAATTACATATGTACAGTCTAGCGAAATGTTTTCATTGAATTACGCTTGTTTTTATTGAATTATTAGTCATATGGAGGGACTAACTTTTGACATGGGATTTGCACGATAAAATCACCTTAATAAAACTTTTCTGATTTATTTTGACAAGCCTTACCGCTTTGTATCTGTCGATGTCCAAGTACAGATCCGTATGCGGTATATGACCCAATAGACACGTGTAAGGCCGAATAACTTGCAGCAGAATTATGACCAGCGACACGAGTAATCCGGCGAGCAGTCCGATGTCGATGTTTATCAACGTAACAACGAGAAACGTTACGATCCAAATTGTAGCGTCGGCTTTGCTCAATTTCCAAAATTTAACGAGTTGATCGGCTTGTTGAAACATCCCTTTTAACGCTACCTGTACGAAAAGTCTAGAATTATATAACCCAGCAAACACAGATTATATTTAGGGCTTCTAAGTATTCGAATATCCGAGATCGGTTTCAATTCGAATCTCAAAACCGGATTATTCCGATTATTCGGGTAATCCGGTTATTCGAATTATTTGGATCCGGATTTGAGTTAGGATCTAAATTCGAATAAAATACATCCGCAATGTATTTTATTATAATTTTAAAATGTAAATTTGTTTGTTGAAAAATGTATTTTATTTTATTTTTTATTTTTAATGCTATAATGCCCTTTTAAGTATAAAACCTTTTTCTCACTCTCATATTTAGTTATCGAATTTAGATCCAAATTCAAATCCAAATCCGCTACAAACTTAAATTCGATTTCAAATCTAAATTTGTTGCGAATCCAGATTCGAATTCGAAATACGGATCCAGATCCGATA